AAGAATGCCGGATGAAGAGTTGAATGACCAGTTTCAGATTTTAGGAGAAACATTGAGAGTTCAGTATGGAGAATGGCTGGGAATAGCCTAATGAATGTACTTTCGGTACACGTAACATTACCTTTTTATTCACTGATTTTGCTAAAATACATATAACAGAAAAGTTACAGCTTAACTCTATTTTTAACCATGTAGTTCAGTGTGTTATGTAAATTCATACTGTAATGCAACCATTACCACCACCATTCCCATCTCCAGAACTCTTTATCTTCTAAACTCAAATTCTTTGACCATAACTCACTCATTCCTCAGCACCTTTCTTTCTCTAGTGCATGGCTATGTTGGGTTCCTTATGCAAATGCAGTGATGAAGTAGTATTCCTTTTGCATGGGCTTATCCAGCTTTGACTTTGTTCCCTAACTGCAAGTATTTTTGTAAAACTCTACTACATTCTTGTCAGATACCTACTGAAAAATAACACTAGAGCATATATAACATTTCTGGTAATATGAAAATTCAGATTTCCAAAAAATTGTACACACACATACACACACACACACACACGTGTGTGTGTTTCTTGTTTTGCTTTTATGTTTTTGTTTGTTTTACATACAAACTATGTAAAAATACATCTTAATGCCATTTAAGGTTGTACAGTCAAACCCATAAAAGATAAGGCAATTCTACAGAGGCCAAAAAGAAGAAAGGGCTAAAAGTCTATGGGGGAATATCTGAGTACTAACAATTTGCATCCTTCCTGTGGCCACTAGTGATTTCTAATGGATACAAGCCTGGGTTTTAATGACCCATGTCCCACAATGAACAGCCACAAAGCCTGGGGCCAAATATTGTGTAAAGTGGAAACATTGTTTCCTGAAAAACATAGCCTGAAATCAAACCAGAAAACAAGAAAAGTTCCCCAAAATATAAATCTATAATTTTAAATTACCAGACAAAAAGAAAAAACCCAGAGCAAGAAATTGTCAGCTGGCTTAAAAGCATAGACTCCAACCAAGAAAGGCTGTGCATCTCACACATGAGACATAAAGATCCATCTTAAACCTGAAATTCATGAAGAATAGCGAGTTAAACCTATACAAATGAATGTGAGGCCAGGAGAACCTAGGAATAGAAGGGCTATCTCTCATAACAAAGGTTATATACTGCAAATCTATAGCCAACATTGTATTAAATGAGGAAAACTCGAAAGAACACACGCACAAGCCAGCAACAAGACAAGGGTGTCTACTTCCTCCACTCTTAGTGTAGCACTGGATTAGCTTGAGCAATAAGACAGAAATAAATAAGAAGGTTACAAATATGTGTCTGCAGTTGTTCCTGTTGGGAGGTGTGGCCTTGTTGGAGGAACAGCTTCACTGGGGCTGGGCTTTGGGGTGTCAGAAGCCCAAGTCGGGCCCAGTGGCACTCTGTCTTCCTGCTGCCTGCTGAACAGGGTGTAGAACCCTCAGCTATCCCTCCAGCACCATGTTCTGTGTCTGCCTGCATGCTGTGATGATCCTGCCATGACAATAATGGACTAAAGCTCGGAACTGTAAGCCAGCCCCAATTAAATGTTTTACTTTATGTACTTTATGGGTGTTGCCAGGGCCATGGTGTCTCTCCATAGCAATAAAACCCCAGCATAGTAGAGAGTTTCTGAATAGAATTTCTATCACTCAGGAGACAAGACCAATAAACAAGTGGGAATCTCATGAAATTCAAAGGGTTTTGTATATCCAAAGAAAATTATCAATTGAATGAAGAGGCAGCCTACAAAGGGGGAGAAAATATTTTCTAGTTAGAGTTAGAGTTAGTATTTAGGAGCATTAGTATTTAGGAGATAAAAAGAACTCAAGAAAACAATTAACACAAACAAAAAAAGGCAGTGGTATGGAACTGAACAGAGCATTTTCAAAAGAATAAACACAAGCAGCTAGTAAACAGTTTTAAAAGTGTTTTAGCTACCAGGGAAACTATTTGGAGATTCCATCTCACACCAATGAGGACAGGCATCATCAACACAAAACAACAGAAAAACACACACAAAAGAAGATACCAGAAAAAAAAAGGGGGAGGGGGAGAAGATGAAGAAGAAGATACCAGTATAGGTATCTACTGATGGTAGAAATGTAAATTAGTGAAGACAATATGGAAATGTCTTGGATAGCTTTATGTCATCTTCACACATGCTAGTGTCATCTAAGAGGGAAGAGTCTCAACTGGAAAAAAAAATGTCTCCAAAAGATTGACAAGAAGACAAACTTGCAGAGCATTTTCTTAATATACAACCGATGTGAAAGGGGCCAGTCCACAGTGGATGGATACCACCTAGGCTGATGTTCTGTGTTCTATAAGAAAGCAGGCTGAGCAAGCCATGAGGAGCAAGCCGATAAACAGCACTCCTCCATGACCTCTGTATCAGCTCCTGCCTCTAGGAGCCAAGGTTTGAGCTCTTGCCTTGGCTTCTCTCGGTGATTCAGGATATGTTAGCCAAAGAAACCCTTTCTGTATCACAAAGCTTTTGGTCATAAAGTTTCGTCCCAGCAGCAGAAAAGTAACTAAGACAGGAAGCTGGTCTCAGAAAGATAAAAAAAAATATTAAGTGCCACATGACCTAGCTATACCACTCCTAGGTTTATATTCAAAGCTTATTACAGAGATAGTCTGACATCCATGTTCATTGCTACTCTGTTGACAATAGCTAGGAAATGGAATCATCATGAATGTCCACCAGCTGAGGAACAGAAAATGAAAAGATGTATGTATACACAATGGAGTTTTATTCAGGTGTGCAGCAAAGCATGACATTTACAAGAAAATGAAAGGAACTGGAAACTATTATTTGGAATGAGGCAACTCAAGCCAAGAAACACAAATACCACTTATTCTCTCTCATATATGGATTCTAGCTTTAAATGTTTAGATTTGGGTGTTCAACTTGTGGTGTCTGTGTTAAGTCAGGAAGCTACAAAATGTCAAAGATGGGAGTAGAGAAATCTTAAGGAAGGGGGGCAGTAGAGCATGTGTGCTATGAAATACTTTGTTGGGGGAGAATTCTAGAGAGAAAAGGCTTAAACGGAGATGAGAACAGAGGATGGGGTAGAGTAGGGGGCTGCAATAGTCTAACTAAGACTAAGGATGTATGAAAGGACCTCAAGGAAACCCACTACCTTGTAAGCTAACTCAAAAATACAACTGTTTTTTTCAAAAGGATTTAAATGGGGGTAACCTGCATGGGTGAAGACTGCTTTCCCAAAAGACATGGGTTACTGAATGAGAATCTCAGTGCAGGCTGGGAGATTCCTCCCCATGAGGTGGGAGGAGGCCGCCCCGGAAACACCCAACAACACAGCCCTCCACCACTGACTGCTCTTAGCTGCTCTCCATAATTCGACAGGAAGAATCTACTGCTGAACGCATCGTTAAATATGCTTACAGTACACAGAGAAAGCAAGCTGGAACTAACTTACTTCCTACCACCTAGTTTTCACTGAGCTGAAGAGTGCTACACACCAGAATAGAAAAGCTTCGGGGAGACCCGGAATGTTGTAATACTGACTTGCCAGGCCCAAACAAAATGCATCCCACAACTAATGAAATGCTGTAAACTTGTTTTAGCAACAACAGAATTAAGACAAACATTAACTATAAATATTAAGAAAAGCTAACAGTCATTTAAGATTTCAATCTCAAATTGCCATATAAAAATCTCAAAGCAGTTATTTCAAGACCTTAAACAAGTGCAGGATCACATTGTAACTCCAATTAGGACCCTTAATTTAAAGATAATAGAATGTGGCTTTAGGAAAATCCAGACACTGTTTCCACATAATTATGAGACCCAACTAAAATTGTGTTCTAATTTCTGCAACCTCTTTTGAAAGTATTTTCATGTGCACTCGTTCTGAAATTTCCTGGTCCCAATCCCCGTCGGTGACATCACTAGAATGAATAGCCACCAGCTTCCAGTCATACTATGAACCAGGGGAACCTCCGAGAATTTACCCCCAAATCCTGGAATAAATTGTCTTTCAGTCAACTCTATGCCTGAAATTACTTCAGTGAACTATATATAATATTATATCCCCAAATTACAATTAGCCAGTGTTGTAACCTAAGAAAAGCAGCACATGAGAGAAAGATGCCATGCAACAGGGTTGGGGGGGGTAATTACGGAAAGGGGTCATAAAACGGGGAAAGGGAAGGGGGGAGACCAGCCTCTGGAGATAGGAGCACCAAGAGGGAGGAAATAGGGAGACAGAGGGAGAGACGGGCAGAGATAGAAACACTGAGAGAAAGAGATAAGGATGGGAGGTGGGCAGGGCCCTTTTAAAAAGGGAACATAGTGAATATGCACAGTTGGTGTTCTTAGTGGCTGCAGCTGAGGACATGTCCTGTCAGAACCCCAAGGACTGGCCAGTACAGATACCTGAATACTAAGTCAGGACCTTGCAAATTAGCCAACCCCTCGTTTTGCAGATGGAGGAAATGCGATGCTGGTAAAGAAGCACTAGCTTGGATTCAACAGCTGGTGAAACCAACCTCCTCTGATTCTGCCCAATGGTCCTACTCTACCGGAATCCAAATGCATGTATTCGCTCACACCCAGTTAAGTGAGGAAACAGACCACTCCGTACCGCCAAAGCTAGAAATTGTACTAGTTGTAAAGAAAAGGTCAGCACCTCTTCCTGCTGGTGGGAAAAGCAGGCGCGTACGTGACACCGCGTTGTTATATAAAATAGACTTCAGTCTCCTAGCAACAACCTCTTGAGGGAGGAGATGATGATCCCCTTCAGGTAGATCTACATCAAAAATAAAAACACAAACCCCAGGTTCGGCACGCACCCGCGCTTCCCACACAGGAGCGGGTAACTGTCACCCCCGGAGCCTCGGCGCTCAGGTACCTGCGCATGACTCCGCCCCCCAGCCCTACGGTTCAGTCCTCTGGAGGAGAGGAGCGCGAAGATGGACACACTTCCCGCAAGAAAGAGCTACCTGAGACTCCGCCGCCGCCCGCCGTCACGGTACTCCAGCCGACTTCCGGGGTCAAGTCGCCGCTCGGGCACCGCAGATCCCGGGTCCGTGGCCTCGGCCCCGCCCCTCCCAGTCCCGCCTCCTCCACCCCCTCCTTTCAGCCCGAGCAACTTCCGGAACGCTGTGAGTCACTAGGCAGTGGACCCGTACTTCCGGACGCACGGTGCTCCTCCCCAAGCCCCAAGCAATGCGACTGGACGATTCTGTGGATTTGATTGGTGGCGCTGGAGCGCGGGTCTCCTCTGATTGGTGACCGGGAAATCTGCGTGTGTTGGCGCGGCGGGCAGCTAGCAGTCAGACCTGACTGCTTTCCCGCTGGTTCCAAGGGTTGGCGGCACCATCATGGTGGACATAATGGAGCTCCCCAAAGCGCGGATCAACGCCAGCATGCTAGCGCAGTTCATCGACCGGCCCGTGTGCTTCGTGGGGAAGCTGGAAAAGGTGCGCGGGCTCGGGCAAAAGAGCGGGGCACTGTGGCCACCCAGGTGTGGCTGCGGAGGGTGAAAGCAGGTAGTCTTCCTTAAGCAGCATTGCTTTATTTCCCACGAGCAAGAGTTTCCACTGCTAGGCCACTGCAGCTCCATCATGATGCCGCTTCTTCTGTGTCGCAAAAACAGTGTTTTTGGATGAGCTAACTTGTAGTTCCAGCGCTTCCCGCGCCCGTTCTGTATTTACCTGATAGATCTGGCTCCACTGCCTACTGTCTGAGTTTGTAGTTTAGCCCTGCTTGGCTGATGAATCTGTGTGTTTCCTGGTCTCTTGCTACCGTCTCTGTTAAGGGCCTGTTTTTCGCGTTGCAGTAGCTTTTCTGAGAAACATTGATAGCCCCTCCCATATCTTGTAGCTCCCCAGTATCTTCTAGCCCAGTCTTAAGACTACAGCTTTCCTTGTATAGCTGAGCAATTAGCCCTAAATCTCAGAGAAAGCCGAGGAAAAGAAAATCATTTGTAAGACTTATTTACTAGCTCATTTCATTCACACATTCCCAAAGTGAAAGGAATGTTATTCTAACTTCACAGGTAGGCTGACTGAGCCAGAGTGTTGATAATTAACTGAAATGCTCAGGGCCACAAGGGGCAGAGCTCAATTCAGATCCCAAGAGAAGTCCTCAGATCTGGCAACCAGTTCTTTAGTTCTTCATTCCTAACTTTAAAAGCATCCCTTCTGTGAGATGTACTAACTAAACCATGAATGTCAGCAGAATTCCCACTGTTAGGTAAGTGAAAACTTCCTTAATTTAGTTTTAGTATACAATTGCCAGATTTTACAAATAAAACAAGAAGCCACACATAACACTAAGCAAGTATTCATTGTTTACTAGAAATTCAAAATTAGCTGGGCTTCCTCCAGTGATTTGGTAACAAGGTTATAACTTGAACCAAATAAACTGTCCAAAACCCAATTACCTTATGTTCAAGTAAAATGTCAATGAATTTTTTAACTATGTCATTACTGTAGATTCTACTTTGTAAATCTATGTGGGTTTTTGTTTTCTTTTTTAGATTCATCCCACTGGAAAAATGTTTATTCTTTCAGATGGAGAAGGGAAAAATGGAACGATTGAATTGATGGAGCCAGTATGTTTTAAGTGATGTCTTGTATTTAATTTTTTGTTTGTTTGTTTTTTTATTACTTCTGATTTAGTGGATGGGTGTATGAAGGCTGCACTTGTTAAACCTTAGCTTTAAAATCAAACCTGTGCCCTAATATTTTATTTCCATTTCTAACCTGTACTAATTATTAGAGCTCCGTGTTTCTGAATATGTCCTTAAGTATTGGTTAGATAATAATTTTTATTACTTAAAAAGATACCCATAAAGTACATATGAAAATATTTTCAAACTTCTGTCATATACACAAGCCTGACCTTGAAGTGGTGGCCCCAGGTACTGCTCCTGCTTCAGACTGCTAATGGTATTGCCAACCATCTTTATTTTCTATTTTTAACTTTTAAGTCACATGTATTTTTAAAAACATCTTTGTGATCTTATGAAGACAAATCCGTATAGTGTTTGGTTATTCTATATAGAACACACATTGTAAGATTTATACGCAGTTCTCAGTGACTTCATATAAATCCCTGTTTATATTTCAGGAACTCTGAAATCCTCAGTGTCTTTGCCTTCAACTTAAATAACTGTGTCTTTGGATCTTGAGCATCTTCTAAAGATAACAAAACTTAGATTTTTGACAAACTATAATTTCTGTTTTTAATGTTGGTAAAATTTGAAACTTTTTTTTACAATGAAAAATTAGTAAGCTGTGAAACAATTTGAAAAACAAGAAACTATAGAACAGTTTTCCAAGCTCATGATCAGCTGAAAAAGTCAATATACCTAACTGACAGTTTTATCAACATTTTAGCTTGATGAAGAAATCTCTGGAATTGTGGAAGTAGTTGGGAAAGTCACAGCCAAAGCAACCATAATGTGTGCATCTTATGTCCAGTTTAAGGAAGATTGTGTTCGCTTTGGTAAGTAAAGCATTATACTACTTAGCAGTCTCATGTAAGTAGGAGAAAAACTTTTATTTACTTTGTGTTGGTCTTAAATCTCAGTCCTGGATATTTTTAATTTCTATAGAATGAGAAGAGACCTTCTTTTAAACTAATCATTTCTTGCAGGTGAAGGAAACTTAGTAAATACTATTTATAGATAAAGATGACTTAGATTATGATGAAATTAATATTCTAATATGTGAATTGAAAGCTTGAACATGCAGTAATTATGACCCAGCAAAAATGACTATGGAATAGACAACAAAATAGGTTATCATCTCTCCTTTCTTTGGGGGCACCCAGATTAAATAAACATGGATTCTGAAAAGGAGAGGAATAGGTAGAAACTTCAGGTGACTGTCAATGCTGCAGATTCTACTGTAGATTAAGTGTTTGCTTAAATGTCTCTTCCAGATCTTGAACTTTACAATGAAGCTGTGAAGATTATCAATGAGTTACCTCAGTTTTTTCCTTTAGGGCTTATACAACATGAATGAACTTCTTGAATTTTTTTATGATTGTCAGTGAGCTACATTGAAAGTTTTTAAAGAAGACTTCTTCAGTTTGAATGAGAGACTCCTCTAATATCTAATATTTAATTTGCTCTTTTTTATGTATCTTGTTGTAAATCTATTATGTAACAGGTTACAACAATCTATAAAATTTTTAAAATAACTACTTCTGCATAGGGTCTGAATCAAGAATTTAGAGTTTAGATTTCTGTTGTATAATAAAAACCAAAATAACATGCTGTTAGTCAATTGTTTTTTTGTTGTTGTTGTTGTTGTTTTCAGTCTTAAAATTGGAATTTTGTAGCTGTAAGGTCGGTTTTTAGATCTACCAAATGAAAGCCTGGGCTAACTGTGGTACAGATTTAATAACCATTTACCATGCTCATTACTGCTTGATAGAATATTTAGAAAATGCTTTTGGCGCGTGAAAGATCAGGCATATATCTAATTTGTGAAGTGTTTTTTCATTCTGTGTTTTAAAATGAACATATACCAATGACAAAGAAGTGATTTCTGATTATTGAGTTAGTGGAGTCATCTGACTTTCTCTTCTAGCCTTTAAACTGTCATTGTTCTTATAATGGAATTCTCACCGTTTTTATGTTCCGAATATGGAATGTCTTTCGCAGATCAAGCTATTTTGAGAAGTTCTAGAGACGTTAGATATGGCTTAGTTAAAGGAAGTACATCACTAGAGGCTTGTCTCTCAAGGTAGAGCTTGTCCCTGGCCCTTCCCTCACTGTAGTCATGTTTCTTGGCCACAATGGTATGCATTTCTTCTGCCCTATCCATGAGCTACCCAACAATATTAAGCCCTCCCTTTAAATTGTATATGTCAGGTATTTTGTCACAGTGACAAGAACAGCTATTTACACACACTCACACACTGAGTACCAGAGAAGTAAGGTGATTGCTGTGATAAATGTCACTGTGATTCTTAAGTGTTGGGGAACCAACTAGAGAAGTCCTGGAATGTTAACAGCACAGTTTAATGAGGAATAAATAACACTGGGAGCTTGGGAGACCAAAATGCTAATAAAAATAAAGATAGCTCATGAGTTTTCCAGTGGAGATGAGGCTCTTGGCAATTAGACTGGAAGATCTGTATTACATTCTGTGAAAGGATTTGTCTATGTTTTTGCCCATGTTCTGAGACCTAAGTGAGGCTAAATTCAAAATGAAGACATTCATTTGGCAGAAGAATTTCTAGACAGATTAATATTGGACCATGACATGTTCATTGCACACAGCTTTTAGCTGGGCTTATAATAAGAACCAGAGAAAAGCTGTGTTGGAAAATGTATAGTTGGGCTAGAAAGGGAACATTTAAAGTGGTCACAAAGAGAATATATGTGGTTGTTCAGAGCTTAGAACCATGAAAAAGAAAGTAAATGTGTAGGAAAGATACCATGAGGGCATCACAGAATGAGTTTGTTACTCATTTGGGAGGTTTTACATTATTAAGGGAGCTCCAGGAACATTGTGTGCACAGCTCTAAGGCTTGGTTTTTTTTTTTTTTGTTTTTTTTTTTTTTTGGTTTTGTTTTGTCACCCCCCCCCCCCAGTGTTTAGCTATGCAGGCATTGTTTAGCCTATTCAGACATGGCCTAAATGGGCCTGGCTCTTCCCCAGGCAGTCAGTACATCTTAACATCATCTACATGGTGCTTGTTTTTTCAGGCATGTAGAACTCAAGTTGAATGTCATGAAGGATTCCACCTATATTTAAAGGAAGACCTGGGAGTCTAGACAGTGTGTTTGAGTCAGAGTATCTGCAGGTAGTATGACAGCATGAAACATGAAACTTAAGTTGCAGTGGAGACTCCAGGGTGTTAAAGATGCCAGAAACAAACAACAGCAATGTCTTCAGAGGGAAACTACAGGCAACAGGTAGAGCCAACCGAAGAGAGGTCACATGGACTACAATGGGCAAGGGCATCAGGGCAGGACTGCCCCAACCTATTAGCACTCTCACATCACGACACCACATGCCATGCATGCCACACCTGAAACTACAAGAATTTAACTTTTGCCGAACTGGATTTTGGTCTTTAATCCCATTCTCTCT